TTTTTAATATTTATTTTTTAGTTCTCGGCGGACACATGTTGGTATGTGGTGCTGAGGATCGAACCCGGGCCGCACGCATGCCAGGCCAGCGCGCTACCGCTTGAGCCACATCCCCAGCCCTTGAATAGATTTTTAATAAAACTAAAACCAATTAAAGACAATGAATTCAGAATTAAGAAATCATGGTTCAGCAGCAGCTTTAAAGGACTTAACATTCTGAAAGATAAAGCTTGACACGTCAATGAATAGATTGGTCATTCATTCACTCTTTCATTCATTCAAACAATATTTGTTGAGAATCACGAGCCACTCAAGCAGGAACAAACTTTATTTTTGAAACTGCCGCCAATACCCCCTACGCTGGGGGGGGGGGACTGCTGACCAACACATGTGTCGGTCTCCCAGAACCCAACAGGAAGTCCCTCCTCTGGAATTCCCTCCTACCGCACTTCCCCAACCAATGGGAACTCTCCAGGAGTCCCTTAGCAGGCTGAGGTGGACAGCAGGGGTCTAATATCCATAAGAATGCAGATCTTAACATAATCATATCATCTCAATGGCTTGCTGGCGTCACCTTTCAACCAAAAATACTACTTGGCTATGGCTCTTAGCAAGAACCTATTATGTGCCAAGCACCATTAGAGGTACTAGCAATATATTAGTGACTAGATGGGCATGGTGGCACATGCCTGCAATCCCAGTGGCTCAGGAGGCTGAGGCAGGAAGATCACAAGTTCAAAGCCAGCCTCAGCAATGGTGATGCACTAAGCAACTCAGTGAGACCCTGTCTCTAAATAAAATACAAAATAGGTTTGGGGTTGTGGCTCAGGTGTTGAGTGCCCCTAAATTCAATATCTGGTCCCCCCAAATATATATATATATATATATGTATGTATATATATATATATATATATATATTTATATGTGTATGTGTGTGTGTATATATATATATTTATATGTATATGTGTGTGTGTGTGTATATATGACTAACCAGTCTCTGTTTCAATGAAGTTTAATTCTAGTGAGGTAGATAGACCATAAGGAAGTAAAAATCATACAGAAAATGCATAACATGATAGATACCATGCCAAAGCAAGATAAATGGATGGACTGTGAATGACAACTTTAGATAGTGTAGCTAGGGAAAGTTATCAGAAGTGATAATGATTTTTTAGTAGACACTTTAAATGGGGTTGGTGATGCAATCCCTAAGGCGAGAGTATAGTTTTTATTTCAGATTGCCACATGTTGGGGAAAAATATAAATTGTAACTTTCTCAAATGAGATAAATCAGGAGAATAAGGGAAACAAAACCATGTCATATGAGGAAAACTTCAAAATATTGGCAATGTTCAGCCTGGAAGAAATAGAGCTTAGGCGGAACATGACAGATTTCTTCAAAAATTTGTCTGTGAAAGAGGCATTAGATTTGCTCTGTTTGGATTATTGGGTAAAAGTTATAGGGAGATAGCTGATCAAAGATGAAATTGTTTTATGTTTTGTTTTGAAGCATAGGAAGACTGATCACTTGGTAATGAAATTGAGGGGATAAAAGTGTCAGATGAACAGTTATACTGGATAACTTTTAAGACTGAAAATCTTCAATTCTATGACCTTTAAGAATGATGAAATTGTTACCTCACAAAACATCCCATTCCATGGCCCTATCCCTGTAGATGCAGAAAGTAAGTGGATAACATAGCCATCTCCAAAAAAGGAAGGTAGAGTTCCATATGGGTTCTATTTCTCAACTTGTTAACAAATTCACTAATAGAATCCTTCTCCAAACTGGGCAACTTCCCCTGCCATTCACTTCCAAGGGCCAGTAGGCAAGTTTGATCAATTGCTTAGGAAACTGACCAAGCTTTGGACAAATCATTTGGCAATGAACGAATACATATTATCCAGCTCAGGGCACTGCTTCCTATGGTTCTGGCTTCTGAGTTTCCACTTCCCACTTTGATATATTTGGTTGCATAGTTTTAGGGGAATCATAACTTAGTCCAGGAACTTTGTTCAACCTTGAAGTTCCAAGAGACTGGGCCGACTTCTTCACTTTCTCTTCTTCCCTCTGCCACAGGAAATTCATCATAATCAAAAACCCAGCGAGAACTTTTTCCTGCCCCTGATGTCTCAGAAAAAAAAGTTAAGATCCAGACTAAAACCAATCTTCCCTATGAAACGGCCAGACGATCCTACATCCAAGCGAGAACAATGGTTTAGGTGAAATTCTGGCTCTTTTTTTTAACTTAATTTCTTTCCTATCTTTTCCTTATTTGTGTTACTGTCTCTTCTCTATAGAATTTAACAAACTTGAAAGGGGGCTCCAAGGGGCTTGGGATAAGGTTGTATGAAAAGGGGGGCAATAAGAATGCTTGTCACAAAATTTTGATTGTGGGAAACAAGTCTAATAGTTTCTTGACATGACCTTCATCTTCATTTCCATGCTAATGGAAGAGAAACAGTAATGCATAACTAAAGCTTTCCACTGACAAAGACTTCAAGAGTGAAGGAAAGTGCTGTATTCTAATCTGTATTTTGAAGAAACCAAAGACATGGACCCGCAGCACAAGTTAAGAACTATAGAATAAGAGCAAAAAGACAAAAGAAGTTCTCTTTGAAATTAGTTACTGGAGCAACCTTTATCTAGTTTGCAGAGAAGAAAGAGATTTTGAAGTTACTTCCAAGTTAACTTGGCACCAATGGTTATATGGTGCTAAGTAATATAAATGTTCCTTGCAGCTGACTGATACTGCCTTTCTGTCCCTATGGGCAGTCTCTTGGCATTGTCCCTTCTTCTCCCACAGAATCTCTGAGGATGTAGCCAACTTTAAAGTGACTGATACCATTAACCTCTTGCCCTAGGGTCTACTAAATGAATTTCTGTTGTTGTCGTTGTTAAGGTTTTCCACTGACAATGACTTCAAAAGTGAAGGAAAATATTCAAAAGTGTTTGCTTTGAAGAAACAGAAAAAAATGTACCCTCAGCTCAGTTTTGCTCCAGTCTGTGAAAGGGATATGAGGAAAAATGGTAAGCTCTTTTCTCTCAATGCAGTGGTTTACTGGACTGAGATGTGGGCTGGAGGTAGAACCTACAGGGATTAAGAGATATGGGCAGATTGGCACCTGTCATGGTGGTTCTAGACATTGTTTTCCCTTGTAGCAAGGAAGCTGAGAACTAAAAGAAGTTTAAATCCTCAAATTTCAAGAAAGCACTAGCAGTTTTTTCCAAACTCTATCATCTACCACTTTCATAGTTTTTCACATATTTATGTATTATTTGTTCCATTATTTACTTAGCAAAATCCTTCCCCCACCCTTTGGCTGATGGGGATTGAACCCAGGGACTACTGGTGCATGCTAGGTAAGCACTCTACTTCTGAGCTATACCCCCAGCCTAAGGATTTAAAATTTTTTGTCCTGTGAGCATGGTGATACGTTCCTGTAATCCTAGTCACTCCACTGGCTGACACAGGAAGGTCAGCCTGGGCAATTTAGTAAGACCCTGTGTCAAAATTAAAAAGTAAAAATGGCTGGGGAATATAGCTCAGTAGTAGAGCACCCCTAAGCCCCTGAGTTCCATCCCTGGTACTACCAAAAAAAAAAAAAAAGTCTTAAATATTATGTCTGTTTTCAGTCCCAGAATATTTCAGATGTACAAGTATCTTCTTTCAAGAGAGAGACTTCACCTGGAAAGTATGGTTTGAGCTTTATAAGTCAGATAAAACAAATATAATAGTTAATATAGTACATTTAGTCAAGTCGAAGTTAAATCTTAAATGATACCATATGTAGGATGGAGGCAGTTCAGCTTAAATCCATATGTGGGGGAATTTCTCTAGAATCTAACCTAGATTAGAATTCCTCTAATTTTGCAAGAGCACAGGATGCATTTACATTATAAAGAGAACTCTTTAATATCGCAGTATGTAGCTTCTCTTTAGATTTAGGGTGACTTTTCAGTTTTCCTAATAAAAACACATAAATAAAATCAAAGGATACTTAGTCTGCTTTTGTACATAAAGTCTGTCATGATGCATTTCCTATACAAAAATGAATCTGCTGGAGAGTTGAACCAATATTCCCACTTAAAGCAAAGGAACAGCTAATATCTCCTCAACTCCCCACCCCCACCCCCCTATAATGCCTCTTGTTTATCAGGCATCCAGATCAGGAAAGAGTACACTTAGAACAGTTTGGGTGGAAGGTGTGAAATCTAGTTAAGGCGGGTAAGAGGTCAACCATAGCATCTGAACCAAGGTGAGAGCAGCTTGGAATAAGCGTTCAGATTCAAGGGATATTTAATACAAGGCAAAAAGTGTCCAAAAGTGGGGAAGGGCAGAAGCAAGAAGATCCCACGATAGAAACTTGCAAAGAACAGGTGGAGATTGAAAAAGAGCCTGACTAAAGTGGTATCACTGAAGTCAAATGAAGCAAGTTTGTCACAGTCTCAGACAATAGAAAGCCAACATACATTTTGAGTAAAAGCCTTTTATGCACATGAATGAGTGCATGATAATAATTGTGACTGAAGTGTCAATATAATTGCAAAGGAAATAAATCACTTAAAAGGGGTGGGACCAGGCAAAGAAGATCCTAAACTGACAATATGGGTTTTGATGAAGAGTAAGGATCCGGAATTATAAAGAAGGTTGGAAATGATAGTTACTCTTGATAAAGAGTAAAGACCAGGTTTCTGGACCTTCCGTGCCACTCAGTAAGTATTCCTCTACTACTTTTGGAAATACACATTCATCAAGGTGTCCTGTGCTTTGTCGTAGTTTCCAAGAAGTCTGTGAATGAAATGCTGACTCCCCAGATGCTTTGGGAACCACTCACACTTTCATCGCTGCTAGAAGAGAAGCCCACCAGAATTGTGCCAGGGGAAAGCTCCTTCCGCAACGGAAAGGCTCAACAGTGGATTATCAAAAATGCCACTGTCATTAAGTGAAAAAAAAAAACCTCTTAAGGCCTCCCGCCTAGTTCTCCAGGGATAGGAGGAGTCTGCAGAAATCGCTGACCAAATAAAATCACATTGCAGCTGCCGCAGGCGTGGGCTGCGGAGGCGCGAGCTGGGTGGGCGGGACAAGCCCCTGGGGCAGCGCCTGGCCCCGCCCCCGCTCGGCCAGGGAGGGCGTGGCTACGTCCCCAGGGGGCGAAGGCGGCCACGACGGCCCGGGAGGGCGGGCCTTGGCCCCGAGTGACGGCCTGGAGGCCCAACCGGCGAGAGAACACGGGGCCGGCCTTCCTGCAGCCTCTTCCGCTTGCCGGCAGCGGCGCCTGGGACGGTTGCTGTGGGTCTGGGCGCTGGGAAGTCGTCCAAGATGATTAAAAAATTCGACAAGAAGGACGAAGAGTCTGGTACGCGCGGGGCTTCTGACTCTCAATCTCAGCCTCGGGGGTCCCCTTCCCTCGCTCGCCGCCACCTGCTTTCCGGAACGGCGGGGCTGGGGGCGTGGGCGCCGCCGTGCGAGGGGCCGTCCGCTCCTGCCGGGGGCCTGCCCGTAGCCCCTCCCCCGGGTGCCGGGGCCTCCCCTTGGGCCGCGCGCTCCCGCATCGGCGCGCGGCGCTGCCTGGGCCTGATGGGCGGCTCCGCCCCGGCCCCTGTCCCCACCCCCGTTCCCGCCCCCGACGGAGCCCCTCCGCGCTGATTCCCGGCGGGCCCCTGGCGGGGGCTAAGGAGTGCGTACGCTGCTCTCTGCGGCAGCGTGGGGGTTGCTGGTGGGGTTAGGCTCGGAATGGGAGCGCCCTGTTCTCGGGGCTGGGGTCGACGATGCAGCGTATGCGTGTATATGGACTTTGAGGTGTCTGTACCTTCTAATCTTCCTGGGGAGGGGGGCCCAACCTGCCCTGTGGGACACTGATGGACTAATGCTCAGGCATCCAAAAGTGACTTGCGTCTTTATACCCGCCTGTGGTCCAAGGCAAACCGGGAATATGCCAAGTCACCTCAAAAAAGAAAAATATTGTTAGTGTTGATGGCTACTCTCACGTAGTGCGTTAAGAGGGTTGGGGTAGTTAACCTCCACAGCCCCATCCAACTTTTTGTTTATGTAATTCTTTGCAAAATTCTTCCAATTCTGCCTCTCAGTAAATGTTAAAAACACATAAAATAAGGCTTTCTTTTAGGAAAATCAAAAGTTCCCTACCGTAATCTCATTAATCTTGGTTGTTGTGGAAATGACACATATTTATAAACATTCATGGGAATAAAAAAGAGGGTAGAGAATGAAGACACTCCTGCAAAAGAGAAGTCCAACCTCTTAAACTGTGTCAAATGACAGAACTCGTATCAAAATCAAAATGATTTTATTCAATTTTTTATACATACTAGTAATGACTATCACTGTAGTAGCCAAGTGAGGTCTCACTTAGGTGAGATTTCTAAAGCATTCAGTACCCTTCTCTAGAAAATAAGTATGTAGGATAGCTACTGAAGACATTCTTTTGTTTTATGCTATAGGTAGTGGTTCCAATCCTTTCCAGCATCTGGAGAAGAGTGCTGTCTTACAGGAGGTATGACTTGGAATTACATTGTGCTGCCTCTTTTCTGTTTTGGAATGGCGGGCAGAGAACCTCTGGGATACTAGAGTCAGGACCTCCGAAATAAATATTAAGGAATGTAACTGATTGCAGAGCATATAAACTGGAGGGAGAAGGAAGAGGACTTAACTTGTCACAGGAGAATCTAGAGCTGAGAGAAGTGCAAAGACATGCAGGCTCTGCCATGTGTTGGTAATATTAAATAAAATGTGAAAAGAGGTGTTTAGTGCAAGGTTGTTAGAAGAAGTTAGATATTGAGCATTTTGCATTCATATGAGGTAGGTAAAAATTCTCTTTCTTAACAGATAAAGCCCATAAAGTTGTAATAGACCTTAGGGAATGAATTAGAAAATACAGACTGGAAAATCAAGGCCGTATCTAATAATTTATCAGCTACCATAGTAAACTGAGGACCAGAGACAACTATATTCTTTGGATATTGTATTTTAAAAGTCTTCATTATTAAAGTTGATTTGTTGTATTCTGATTTAGAAAAAGGTAGAAAATACACTATATGTAACAGTAATATTTTGCATGTTTCTGTAGGCTCGTATATTCAATGAAACCCCCATCAATCCAAGAAGATGTTTGCATATTCTTACAAAGATTCTTTATTTACTGAACCAGGTAAATTATTTTTATTTTCCTTAGATTTGTGTCCTAGAATAGAAACCCATATGTAACATACAGAAACTACTTTCTGGAAAGTATAATTATTTTTTTAAAAATTCATTTAATTTTAAAATCCAAAATGTTTATTCACCAGAACAATGTGTAAAACTTCTTGAGCAAGGGACTATGAAATCTGTTTATTTTTATATGATGAAGTATTTAAACTGGCTTTAAGCATATAGTATATTCTCAACAAATACATTGATTTGAATTTAATAACCACTAGTTAGCACACATTGTTTACATTTATCTAGGGGTCTTTATGTCTTTCTGAAAATATACTGTAAAGTCAGACAAATTTTAGATTTTTTTTTGTATAATAGTGATGTTTTAAGGCTTTGATTTTTAATATTCAGATTTATACTTATTATTCTTATTCCACTACTCATTATTAATGTAATATTCAATATTACTACTGAATATTCATATTCAATAATCTGATTATGGGCAAGTAATTTAACCATTGATTGCCTTAATGTCCATTTTTGCAAATTGGCATTATGATAATATCTGTTGTATAGAATTATAATGATTAAGTGAAATAAATATCAAGCAATAGGAATAGTACTGAACCCACAGTAGCATTCAAGAATGATTTTCATTGAGTCACTCAGCAAATATTTATTGCATGCCTTCTGTGTCCTATGCACTGTTCTAGGCACTAGGGTTATAGTGGACAAAATAAACAAAAAAAATTGTAGTCATAGAATGTAGATTCTTTTTTTCTTTTCTTTTTTTTTTTGGTGGTGCTGGGGATTGAACCCAGAACCTTGTGCATGGGAGGCAAGCCTGCTACTAACTGAGCTATATCCCCAGTCTCCAACTTTATTTAATTAATTAATTTATTTATTTTTATGTGGTGCTGAGGATTGAACCCAGGGCCTTGCACATGTGAGGCAAGTGCTCTACCGCTGAGCCATATTACTCAGTGGTAAAAGAGAATAAAATCATGACATTTGCAGATAAATGGATGGAGTTAGAGAAGATAATGCTAAGTGAAATTTAGCCAATCCCAAAAAATCAAATGCCGAATGTTTTCTTTGATATAAGGAGGCTGATTCATAGTAGGATAGGGAGAGGGAGCTTGGGAGGAATAGATGAACTCTAGATAGGGCAGAGGGGTTAGAGGGGAAGAGAGGGGGCATGGGGTTATATATGGTGGTAGAATGTGATGATCAAAGTACGTGTATGAAGACACGAATTGGTGTGAATATACTTTGTATACAACCAGGAAAAAAAAAAAGAATGTAGATTCTTCTTTCTATTATTATTAATTTTATTATTTATTTACTTTTTTGCTTCAAACTGTTTAAAAAACATGAACCTTATGATTTTGTTGATCATATGATCAAAATCGTAGAGCCTTATGATTTTTGTTGATCCCATATATGTGTGTGTGTCTATGTTTGTATTATGTATATAAGTACATGTATACACACGCATATAATATACCATATGAATCATGTAGTTTATATATGATGCTAAGAAAACTTAGCTTCCAATTTGAATTCTGAGAGAATATTTTACCTTTACTGTTTTGTAACTGAAAACCTCATCCAGAGATTTAATGAAGCTATATTTTTTGCAAATGGAGACTGGGCAACAATCATATAGTTTTAAATAAAATATATTTGTTCACAAACAGCATAACCCCTCTTTGACAGCGTATTAGAAACATTTAAGCCATAGTCAATTTGGATAAATTTTTGTAGCATACTTTGTGTTCAAATTGGTTAAACCTATTATATAAATAATTTAGAACAAAGTTGATTCAGAGTATCCATATTTTTACATTGGCCAATACCATTTTTAATAGGGCAACTCATGTTGAAACACTGCATTATCTTGATAAAGAAATTATCAAGCATAGCAAAAACACAGCTAACTACATAAGCAGGTTTGGGAACATTCATTTTTATCTTTTTTCCTTGTTCTTATTAGAGCTTTATGGAAAAATACTTTTCAGTTTCTACTGGAGTTGACAGAGCCATATGTTCTTTGAATTTCAAGTCAAAGAGTAGGTTTAACCAATTTGAACACAAAGTGTGCTACAAAAATTTATCCAAATTGACTATGGCTTTAAAAAGTAGGGATTTAAGGTTTTCTAATAGAACTATAAAGTACATGGGTTTCTAGGTATTCAGTAAATTTTATGACAGAAACAATGTAATCTCTTGCTAATGAGCAAGTTGAACACTCTGATTTAAATAATTGAAAATTCTTATTATACTTTGTCTTTCATTCTAAACTTTCACTGGCTTTCAATTTGTAAACCACATGACTATTTATCCACTTCTTACTTAAAATAATTCAGTATCACACACTTCTAGAATAGTGGTCAAACCTTTTTTACTTTTTTTTTTAAATCAAAACTTTTGCTGATTTTTTTTTTTTTTTAATCAAAAGTTATTCTTGGGCTGGGGATGTGGCTCAAGCTGTAGTGCGCTCACCTGGCATGCGTGTGGCCCGGGTTCAATTCTCAGCACCACATACAAACAAGATGTTGTGTCCGCTGAAAACTAAAAAATAAATATTAAAATTCTTTCTCTCTCTCTCTCTCTCTCTTTAAAAAAAAAAAAGTTATTCTTAACACCCATAGTAAATAGATTGAAAACTAGCTATATTTGATGTGAAATCTGAAGCTCTGAAAAGAGATTTAGCCTAAAATTTTATATAAATTGCTCTTAATGAAGAAATTAAATATTGAAATGACATTATTTCAGATATTCTGTGATATGAATGGTTTGAAAATTAGTGACAGTAGGTTATCTTACACCTTATTACTCAATATGATTCCTGGATCAGCAGCCTTTGCATCACCGGGAGCTTGT